AATGCTAGAATTATAGGCATGAGCCATCGTGTCAGCCCATTTCCTCTCTTTAGACCAAGTAAATAGGAAATTTTCTGTGAGAAAAATGGGAGGGGCCAGGTGCTGTGGCTCACCCTCTAATCCTAGCACTCTGGAAGGTCAAGGTGGCTGGATTGCTTGAGCTCACAAGTTGAGACCAGCCTGAGCCAGAGGAAGACCCATCTCTAAAAAATAGCCAGGCGTGGCAGGCACCTTTAGTCCCAACTACTTGGGAGGCTGAGGCAAGAGGATCTCTTGAGCCTAGGAGTTTCAGGTTACTGTGAGCTGTGACACCATGGCAGTCTACCAAGCGTAACAGAGTAAGGCTGTCTCAAAAAAAAAAAAAAAGAAAGAAAGAAATAGTAATTCCATTCATATTATTCTGTAGGAATTCTGTTTCATGTTGATTTGCTAACTGGGCTTGGTTAGGCTTGCTATTCTTAGTTTGAAATGAAGGAAAGAAAATATTAAAGGGCAAGTTTATATTCCAGTTTAGACTAGAAATACTAGTTCATGTTGAATATAAGTCTATAAAGTACCTTTATTTTTGCTAAGTTATATATATATATATTTTTTTTTTTATTAGAGATTGGGTTTCTCACTTTGTCACCAGGCAGGAGTGCAGTGGCATGATCATAGCTCACTGCATCCTCCAGCTCCTGGACTCCAGTGATCCTCTTACTTCAACCTCCCAAAGTGCTAGGATTGAGATGGGACATGAACCACCCACCCCACCAGTTTTTGCTAAGTTATAATTAACAGAGCTAAGGGAAAATATGGCGTTTGATGTACAGGAGGGATCTAAATGTTCCAGTTACATATCTGTTTATTGTCTCTTCTATTCAGGTCAAAATCCTTTGATTATTCTTTTTTTATTTAGATTGTCCAGCTTGCCCAAGCTTGATAAAAGGAATTAAGTAGTGTCTAGATACAGCATTAAAGACACACACCTGGTTTTTTCACTATTAGAGGCCTTGGGAGAAATGTTTGTAACTTTAGTTGTAAGTCAGCACTTAGCATTTTGAGGAGGTTTCAGCATTTAGAAAAAGGGGAATGATTTTTTTTTTCTCTCATGCCAGAAGGCATCACAATTTTGGTTTAGTGTTGGAGGAAAAGATTCACAGCAGCAGCTATTTGAAAATTCTGGTTCATTAACAGTAGCTTTTTTTCTCCCAGGTTACCTGTTCTTACATAACCTTCATAATTTTTTGTCTTATTCATTTAATATGGTACTTTTTCAAGTTCATATTAATAACCACTAAATACCAATAATTAATGGTAGCCCTGTATTAATAAAGGATTTTAAATTTAGGACTTAAAAATATGTAAAGATAAAAACACTAAGGAAAAGAGGAGCATATCTAAAAGAAACGTAGGGACCACAAAGTTGGGGACAGAAGGGTATCATATTTCTGACATTATTTGTCCCTCTTATTTGTTTATTTTTAAATTTTTCATTTCATTTATTTATTTATTTATTTATTTTTTTTGAGACAGAGTCTCAAGCTGTTGTCCTGGGTAGAGTGCCGTGGCATCACAGCTCACAGCAACCTCAAACCCGTAGGCTTAAGCCAGTCTCTTGCCTCAGCCTCCCAAATAGCTCGGACTACAGGTACCAGGCACTACGCCCAGCTTTTCTTTGTTGTTACAATTGT